TCACTCGGTGTCGTAGGCACGGAGTGGCACCACTGCGGGAAGTTTCAAGGGAATCACGCTGTGTGCCCATGTAGGTATGTGCTGCCATATCTGAGCTCCTAAAGGATAATTATTCTTAACTGTGAACTTGAAACACAGTGACTCATTCACTAATTTCCAGTTTTTAAAGAATATTTTGTTTTGTTTATAACTCTAAAGTAATAAAAGAGAAAGAAGTAAAACAAAACCAAACCTATCCTCCCTGACTGCTGGCTTGTAGAGTAACCAGGCCAACTTTTATCACCTCTGCCCAGCCCCTTCCATTTTTTTCCTGACTTAACCACCACCTCCACCACTGGAGATGCTTTCTTTCCTTCGTCTCTTTTCACTCTGGAGTTCATGATAGATGATTTAGAACATTTGCCAGGAAGGTAATTTGTACAATGGTTAAAAACAAACTCTGGGGTCAGATTCCTGGGGATTAAAGTCTGGTCCTAGCTGTGCGATTTTAGGCAAAGTACTCATTTGTTTGCTTCTTGGTTTTCCTATATGCAGGACAAGTGGGATGATAGGTCACACAAGCACATACAAATGGAAGCTCACTTAGCCTTACAAGATTTTGTAGGAATAAGTGACATAGAACATAAAAAATAGACAGTAAATATTCAATAAGCACAAGCTCCTAATATTTAATTATTTGGATGATTTGTGCCAAAAGGCATAAAATGAGCAAGCTGGTTTTCTTTTTCCATTTTGTCACTTATGAAGTGTGTGCTTCTGAGGAAAAGAAAAATAAAATATTATCTTATGAGATAAAATATTTTGGTGACATGATAAGCAAACACCTACATAAAAATGGAAAACAGAAGGTTGGGGTGTGAATCAGTGGTAGAGGTCGTAGGTTTTCAGCACTATGCAGACAGACGGACACACACACACACACACACACACACACACACAATAAATGTAGACACTTTCAAACATCTTATAGACCAAATACCAGCATATTTTACAGTTTTTCTTTTCCTTTGGCATGTTTCTGATGTATCTGTGGGTAAGTGTCTGTATGCATGTGTGTGTGCATGTGTGTGCGTATGCATATGTGTGTGTGTGTGTGTGTGCTTGTGCAGGAAACCAATATATTCTATTCACTGTTGTCTTCTTGTGCTCCACTCTGAGCTGTATGCATGTCATAGAACTTTGCATATATCATTCCCAACATTCCTTCATCTTCTAGACAGAAAAAATTATTAGCCTCAATTTACATTTTGGAGAATGCAGCACTCGGGAGGCTGAGACGTAAGCATAGGAACTTGAGATCAGTTTAGGGATTACCTGTCTCAAAAAAGAAAGAGAAGGAAAGGAAAAACAAATGAAAAAAGGAAGGAGGAAAAGGAGGAGAGAAAGGGAGGAAGAAAAGAAGAGAAGGAAGGAAAGAAAAAAGGAGGGAAGGGAAGATAATGAAAGGGAAGGGAAAGAAGAAAGGAAAGAGGGAAGGAAGGAAAGAGCTGAACGTCACTGCATGCTTGTTTGCCATAATGCACCCAGGGGCAGAACTGTATTGGTGAAGGTGGGCATTGCAAGGCATACGTCTGGGCTCACGAGACCCTGTTTGGTCATACTCATTTGTGTTAGTAGTTCTGTGGAAAATGGAAAAGGATCAGTTCTTCGGTGACACTTTGGTGGCGAGGGAAGTGTGAGCAATATGGCACTTGGGGGAATATTGCCTGCTGTTCAGACAGCAGACAAGGGTTGGCAGATCACCTTACAGCAGCAGACACTGCCGGGGGCCGCCCTCAGACCGTTTGCTCTGCGGATTGCCGCTGTTGCCGCGGTGATGCACTGGCTTACGCAGATGCCATTAAGAGCTCCTCTTGACAAGCACAGTGATAGAGTGCGCGCTTCCCGCCGCACAGCACACGCTTAGATGATAGACAGCTCTGTTAAGCTGGGGATGCCGTTATCTTCCAGCCATTGAGCTTTCATCCTGCTTTCCAAACCGTGAAGCTGCCTAAAGCTCAAATAGCTTATTGATGACAAAAGAAGCCACCTAAAACTGGGCCATAGTGGGGAGCAGAACGTAGGACATTTGTTTTTATGAACATAAAACCTCTACGGTTCTCCAAAGAATGAATTTTCTGCTTGGATTCTAGAATATCTGACTCCATCAAATGAAGAATTTTATGCCTCAAAAATACGCTCTGCTATTCATCTAATTTTACTTTATGAATGTCAATGGATGAAATGTGAACAATAAGTACAATCCTAACTTGAATTTTTATGGTTGGATGTAATTTTGTTCTCATTAAGAATTATTTTATGATTCCTTAAATAGTTCACGTAAAACAAAACAAGTGTACACGCCAATTAATTGGTATTTTCAAAATCAGGTAGACATTCTTTCCCATTGTTTTTGTTGCTTCCTTGTAGTCTTGGGAATAAATTGTTATGTTCTTTCCACAAAAATAATGATAATGATTTATCAGAAAAAGGGGACTGATTTATATCAGTTATAACTTATGGCAATAAATTCAAATGTTTCATGTCCAATGAGACCTGAAATCAAAAACAGCATCCTTCAAGAAATGCTGTTTATGAAGTTTTGAAGTCTCTGAACTCAGAATTTTTTTTTCTTTTAATGTTTTTGGTACAGGATCTTACTATGCAGCTCAGACTCCTAGTGATCCTCCTATTTTCAGCCTCCCCAGCACTGGAATTACAGGCATGTGCTACCATGCCTGGTCTGGGCTGTCTGTTCAGCATGCCCGGGGTGGGGCCGGCATGGCATGTGGCACTGGGGATTGAACCCCAGCACTTGCCTAAGCAGGGACTTAGTCTGCTGAGCTATCTCCTGGCCCTGAGAATCTTAATTCTAACAGTTGTAGAGGAATTACCCTTTGTAGCAAATACCTAGCGTAGCATCTCCCTCCCCCCCAAAATGGAGATTGAACTCAGGCCCTTGTGCTTGCCAGGGAAGTACTTATTCCCCTGAGCATCTCCCTGGCCCCACTAGCGTAGCATCTTAAAGTGCTCTCAAATTTGATGCTATGTGATTATGTGAACTACGTAGGAAGCTGACGTCATAAAATGACGTCTAAGCACATTAGTAGTGCCTAGGATCCCAGCAGGAAATAGGTGGCCAGCTCAAGGAACATAGTGTAATGTAAGGATTAAAACCAAACCTAAGAGAACCAAGAAATGAAAACGAAGTACCCAGAAACAGAGATCAAAAACAGGAAGTTCTCATCACCCTTAGGCCTGAAGGTGCAAGGATATAGTGAATGATACTGCAACATGACAAAAGTTAAGGCCACGTTAAGGGAGGGGCTCTTTAGGCCAACAAGCAGAGCCATCACCAGACCCTGGCCCAGCACATCCAGCGAGGAGAAACACTGATCTCTCCTTGCCTTTACTCTTTGATAACTTGGTGCTTTCTGTTGGTCAAACTCAACTAGAAGCCCAGGTGATCTCCTGATGCCCTTGCACCTTACCCTGTAGGAGAGGGTCAAGAACAGACCTAGAAGGAAGCTAGAGAATAACCATCACCCTGCCTTACCACAGCCATAACTGCCCAGCTCTCAGCCTCCAGTTCCTGACCCCTGAATAGCACGTGGGAGTGCTCTGCCCTTATGCTCCTCCGAAGTTCTCCTTTTCTAGGATCCCAAGATTTCTTCTTGGTGTTTACCCTATTGTTCTTCTATATCATTCTGTGCGAGTATATGACACAGTCCTTAAAGCAAAGCTGTTTCTATTATTTGCAAAAATAATATGTTTGTTTTGCAAAATGATCTCTTTTTATTTATTGATTTTTTTCCTTAGTACTATGCTTTATATAATTGAGTTCAATCAAGGCTTTCACTTGTTGATGTCTTCCTTGGCATCCGGGTTGCACCATCTCCTCCTGATACTGACTTCCCATCACCTCTATCTGCCCATCTCTGTCTCTCCAGTGCCTGTCTTTTATCTCCCTCTTCAGTTGCAGTTCTTCGCCTTCATTGGCTATAGGAGGGGCTGTTATATTTTGTTGATGACTCAGTCCCTTTCTGACTGGGATAAAACTTTACAATATGGAATAATAATCTTTTCTGATGTATGACCAATTTAAATACCTGGCATCTTTTTCCATTTTTCTTTTATATTCTCTCTCTCTCTCTCTCTCTCTCTCTCTCTCTCTCTTTCTCTCATCCTTTTGAGACAGGGTCTCACTATGCAGTTTAGGCTGGTGTTGAGCTCACTTTGTAGCCCATTCTGGTTTCGAATTTGCCATGATCCTACTGCTTCAGCCTCCTGACTTCTCTTACAGGTGCACACCACCATGCCAGGCTACATGGTTCTTTTATGTTGACCTAATTTTCTTTTCTTCTGTTTATTTATAGTGTCATATATTAAGTGTTGTGTTGACATGGTACCATGTAGTAGATTAGAGAATGGGGTGTGTTTGGGAGGTGGTGAGAAGTGTGAAGATGGTTGTACAGGGAAACATGTGAATTAAAAACTGAAGGAAGATGGGAGAAAGTGCAGGGGAGAGGGAAGGGAAAGGATTAAGATGAATTCTGTACATGTACCAACTCCCCACAATGAATGCATTCATTATGCATCACAAATATGTGCTACTAAAAACTAATAAAAGAAATTCCTGAAGCAGATCAGACAGGCTTGGTTCTGAGACATTTGGGAAATGCAGGCACAAAATCCCAAGATTTGCCAAAACATTAAAGATATGATATGCTTAATTTTCAAAAATTGGCTTGTATTACAGTTTGGAGACCTCTGGCTCTCAGAGATGGTGGCATGATTTTTTCCCAGTTGTGTGGCTGTAACTCTACTTCCTGTTTCCCTCCACGCAGATTCGAAGCCAGAGCAAAGCCTCTGGGTCTGGACTGTGTGAAGGGGATGAAGTGGTGTCTATCAACGGCAACCTGTGCGCAGACCTCACCTACCCGGAAGTCATCAAACTCATGGAGAGCATCACAGACTCCCTCCAGATGCTCATCAAAAGGTACAACCCATTCGCTGGAGTATAAGCGGGAACCAATGGAACTGACTGCCGCCCTCCTGTGTGCATGTTATGTGATCTACTAGAGAACTGGGTGCTTTGTGACGAGGAGTTCAGGGCAGCAGAGCAGAAGCCCTGCAGTGGCGATGCTATTCAAACTTTCTGTTTAACTGAGCTTTCATTTGAAAAATCTATGTTTTCAACCAATTTGTTTACAATCTCAGGTATTTTAGGCTGCTTCATTAGAAAGGTCTGTGTGTCAAACAGAATTTAATAATTCTTTCCAAGATCAGGACTTTCTGACAAATAGAATTACTCAGACATAATTCCAAGATTTGGAAATGAATTAAAAATGTTTAAATGTTAAACCATTGAGCTTTGTAATAATTTTTCATAGAATAAAAAATACCTAGGAGAGGGAAAACAAAAGTAAACAAAAAATTGAAAGCATATATCTACTTACCAGGACCTTCAGTAAAGCAATATTTTAACATGGATAAAAGCTTATGTTTAAGAATAAAGATTTGGGGGCTGGTAAGATAGTTCCGTAGTCTAAGTGCCTGCTTAGACAAGTGCAGGGACAGGAGCTCGATCCCCAGCACCACATGCTGCACCATCCCCACCCCAGGTATGCAGAGCTGGCCACTGAGACATGGTAGGTGTGGTGGTGCACGCCTGTAATCCCAGTGCTGGGGAGGCTGAAAACAGGAGGATCACTAAGAGTCTGAGCTGTGTAGTGAGATCCAGTACCAAATATATAAAATTAAAAAATTTAAAAAGAAAAAGAATAAAGATTGGAGACTATCAAAGCAAATTACCTGTGAAGTATATCTCTCCAGATACCCCTATTCTTTAAAAAATGGAGAAAAATTTTTAAGGATAAAGCAAACACACACACACACACACACACACACACACACACTAGCAATAAGACTGTTACAGTGCAAATCACAGTACAATCTACACTGACTTTTAAATCAAAATCCTGACTACTGCTTTATCTAGACAGTAATGTTCTGGCTTCCTGGAGTGTGGCCTTCAGGAGATGTCAGAGAACACGCCACAGGATCTTAAAGCCCTCGAAACCTGGCCTTAACTTTGCAGAAATACTACACAGAGTGTCAGTCCTTTGGTATTCACTCAGTATGATTCCATCTCTATTTAAAAATGAACCCAACACTGCCAGAATCAGGGGTGATGCAGGATCTCTAATGTATTCTCACAATCTCCCATCTAAATATGCACATTCCACGCTCTGTGTATAGGGCCTTAGAATCCCACTTACTTACAAAGGTACTATTTGCTCTGAAAAGGAACCTAACAAAGAGGCTACCAGGTTTAATTCCAGTGTTTGCTATTGTCATATATGCGTCTTGATTTTTGAAGAGTTCCAGTTTTTAAAAGTTGACTTAGGCCCAAAATGGGGGAAATGACTTTTCCTAATTTACTGCCCTTGTAACGGCTTTAACAGCTCAAAGACTGAGGCCAGTTTACCTGGACCCTACTTGGCTGGGGCACCCGCGGGAAAATTAATGGTAGTTTTCAGTTGAATCTTGAGGCCATATTTAAGTTCCGAAGTAAATGGACTAGGTCTCTGTACCTTAAATAACTAAAATCATGGTTACTGTGTTTTCTCCTAAGTATTTTGACTTTTTTATGAAGGTGTTAGTTGATGAAATTCAAGATAAAATTCCAAATTAAAATCAGCTCAAAGGAAGTCAGCAGCATAAGCACCGTCACAACTCTTGGTATCTGAACGTGCTTCCAGAAATGAAATATCTCTCATAACATTGTTATCTTCCCTGGAAGACAAGAGTGTGACTTCCCTGGATTATTGTCCAGAGGCAGTTGGACAGAGGGGTGTTAAAAAAAATCCTCTTCAACACTGTTTTCACTATCTTAAGTTGTATTAAATGATAATATATAAGAAGATAAATAATTCCATAACTATAATATACAAATTGTGCAACCTGTAGAGACTGAATGAAGGTGATTAGGCTTTAATTCCTCTCCTCTCATACTTTTATGGCTTTTATTCATGTTACCAGTAAGCCCCTGACTTTCAGATGAGTTCCACTCCAGGGGAACATTCATAAGTCAGAGTCATTGTAAGTCAGATAAAGTGAGTCTCACACACCTTTGACACAATACACTGCACACCGCTTCCTCGCAGCGCCCCCCACATTGCCGCTGCTTCTCCTCTTGCTTCCAGACACCCCGAGCACTGCCCTACCGACCCCCATCGCACCGCGCAGGCAGCACACCGCGGCGCAACTGCGGCCGTGTCCAGCAGACACGCGAGCTGCTCCTGGGATCTGCAGCATCTAGGGATGTTCCTAATGCAAAGTCCTTTTGAACCTGCTGAAGTCCTCAGCTCTAGTGTTCGTGAGTTGCGGACTTGCCCTGTACCTTTCACTCCAACTACCAAGAAATGGTACCATTTACTTGGCCACTTGCCTGTGCTCCAGTGTGTAGTCTGGAGGGAACTGAACCTGTCCCATGCTTCACAACTGCTTGCTAACATAATTCAAAGTGATTTAATCTACTTCTGTCTTGAGACCCTTCCTAGACCAAGGCTCTCTGGCCCGTTGCTACTCTCAAATGCAGCTTGTTAGAGTGTATTTATCATTTCCTATAAAAGAATGAACTAATTTGCTGTTGTCATGTTTTAAAACACTGTAGCATATTTTAAAAAAATACTATAGTACCAGGGAGTTTTTCAGATTATTTGCATAGTGAAAACTGTATGTGTTTGTCACTCTATTTTTTGTTTTGTTTTGCCAAATACAGTCCAAAGCAAAAGTTAGAAGTGAATGTTTTGACCTGAAACTATACTGTTACAGAAATTCTAAGGTAATTTCCTTTGAGTAGAGTAGAAGTAGCAGCTCCCCCTTCCATTGACAAAATCTGCTTTAGCTAGGGTGTGTTTTGAGGGAGCAGAAAAGAGGCAAAGATAGCTACTGCTGTCGCCTTACAAACACACACACAAATGCAAGTAATGAAGGAATCTCCCACAGCTGTTCTGTGAATGACGCTTCTCTGCTAAAAGCATTCAGGGTTTAGACTTTTAAAAAGAAACTGACACCACCTTCTCCAAAACCAAAATTTGCAAAAAGCCTACTAAGAATGGGTAAGCAAACAAAAGCATATGCTGAACAGCTTTGGTCTTTTTAGCTGTGAGATAAAGAAACAGTTTGATTTCAGAAATCCTAAAAGGCCAAAGCTTCAAGAGACAAGTTACAATAAGAGAGGGAAGACATCTCAGATTATAAATACTCTATGACTTAATGATTCATTCAGCATGGAAGGATTTCTCTTTGCACAAGAGGACTGGGCCAGGGTCCACTGATTACCAAACACTGGAGCTTAAAAACAGCTTCTGTTCCATTCCTTTCAAGAAAGCACAGGCTCTAAAAGGATTACTTGAAGTATCTGTAATTTAAGATTGATCTGAAGCTGCTGGATATGTTTGTGATTTTATAATGTCTAGACTAAAGCTCAATAAGATATTGAAGTGCTTTGTCATATTGGAGCAAACATAGTGGTTTCAGAATATACAAATAATTTCAAATGAAGGACACCTATGTAATCACAACCTGTGATAAAGTTGAGTAATTTAGGATGGATTTCAGTTTCAGTCTTTTATAAGTACTTTTGCTGTGCTCTCAAGAAAAATTTATTTAGAATGTCTTTACACAATCACACAAACATGTTGCACTTAGTTTTCAATATTTTACAGTTGACATTAGGAGGAACTATTTTGATTGTATTATGTACTGTCTCAGCCATAAACGTCAGGAAAATTCTTTGGCAGGTGCAACACACTCTGATTTAACTGTCTGGAATTATTTTTCTGTGTACAGACCATCCAGAGAAATAAGTGAGGCTGTGGTCTCTGAAACTGAAAACACAAACCATGAGCACCTCAGTCCTGAGGAGTGTGTGGAAAGAACCACCCTGCAGATTCGCCCAGCCCCAGAGACCCACTACAGAGAGTTCTCTATCGCCCCTGATGAGAGCCAAGCTCCTCTAGCTGAGGACCAAAGAAGTGGCTCCGATGATGTAGGCAGTACAAAAGAAGAAGCAGGCCCAAGCTATCAAAGGGCTCCCCAAACGTTCAACTCCCAAGAACGATCCTTGACAAAAGAGGTCATCGTCAGAGAAAAGGCAGAAGCAGGGCAGCAGGGCACCGTGGTGGAGTTACAACTGTCCCTTTCCCAGGATAGACACAGGGACACCAGCGGCCCTGCTGTGGCTCTCCTGGGAGCTGAGACGCCTGCGTCTCCTGACCCTGACCCAGGCCCTAGCCTGCAGCACCAGGGGGCTTTCCTCATAAATTCTGCCCCTGCTGATGAGAAAGCGAATGCTGCTCTGAGGTCCAGCAAGACACTTCAGGTCTCCAGCAGCAGGCAGCTGAGAGTGACCCGAGGGAGTGGAGCGGCAGCCGCGGGGCTGCCCCAGGTGGAAGTGATCCTCGACTGCTCTGACAAGCAGAAGACTGAAGAGTGCAGGCTACAGGCAGGCAAGGGGTGTGTGGCTGCTCCAGGGGAAGGAGGGCAGTCGGAAGCACCTCCTTCTCTGGTCTCCTTTGCCGTCTCATCAGAAGGCACAGAGCAGGGGGAAGATCCACGCTGGGAGAAGGTTCACAGCAGACCACACAAGCACAGAGCGCGGCACGCACGTAAGTCCTGCCCGGGCTGGTGCCTGGCTGGAAGGGACTTGGGGTCTCAGGGTATTTCTCTGCAACTTTGCCTGCATGAACTTTTATAGAAAAGAGGTTTTTCTTTTATCCTTTACTAACTGTTAAAAATATTTAATTATGCAAAAGCAAAAAACTAAACATGAAATTGTGAAGGAACTCAGCTCTGAATGAGAAACAATAAGTCTGAACTTTATAGTAAATATAACTTTCTTTTTAAAGAACTGTTTATCCCCCAAGATATAGGAACTGTTAAAGAAAATGTGTTCAATGTCCCTTTTTGTTTCAGAAGATGATAATGTTTCACATTTAAGTATGGTAAGAAGTTTTGTAGATGCTGAGATTAAATGTGAAAAAGTGGTTCGATCTGCTGCTGGGAGGCTTTAAAATGCAGGCTCTACCACTGATATTAAAAGCAGATCTTCGTTCTGAAAAAAAAAATCGCCTTGCAGCTTGATGATGCTTGCAGAAGTGAGCTTGACAGACAAGGGCATGTGCGACGCGAGCGGTTACACAATCCGCGCCGTTGTGAACGTCTTCACTAGACTGCAGAGCAAGTCGGCCACCTTCTAGACACAGCAGCCAGGCCATGTGGAGGCTCTCAGACGTCCGTGACCCCAAGCACACGCTGCACTTGAGTTCAAGGCTTTTTATGGTAGTATTTTGTTTTAGTTGGAGCGGAGTGGGCAGAAAGGAAATGAGAATAAGAATTGAAGTTGGGAGTTAGGATCCTTGTTCTTTTACTTCATGTATATGTGTATTATTTTATTTCAAATTTTGGAATTCCATTTGATGATGTAATTCAGACTGGCAAAGGCCTTTGATTGTTATGAATGGTGCAGCCCAGCAATTAACTTGGTTATTCACAATAACCATGTGTTAAGTATTGTAGCCTGTTGCTATTCCTTCCAAATCATATTTTTAGAACAACCACTTGGAGGGCTGTTAATCATCCCTTATACTTTACGTGCTGTATACCATCTCCACATTTATAGTGTATTAAACAAGGGAGACAGCATTCACATACTTTGTGTTGGCAGTGAAGTTAGCAAGTGGGCAACTGTGACTGTCCATTTAACAGTAAGTTGTACGACTCTAAGCCACAAGAGGAATTGCACTTAGGAATGACCCTGCTTTCACTTTTGTCTTTGTACAAAATTTGATCACCGGTGATTATTTTGTTATAAAATTATCTCCTCCGATTTTGTTTAAATTTTGAGATATTAAATAATGTCTTTTTTTGGGTAAAACAAAAGCTAATATTTAATCATATAATGCTCACTTTTCCTTGAAATTTCTGTTTAAGTATCTCAAGGAATAAAAACACTGTAAAGCATGTTTATTATTAATAACATGGTCATGATTAACTAAGGTTATAAATCAATTTACCACCAACTTGTTTTTCATAACGAAGAAAAAATTAAATATAAACTTATTATTTTATCTCTGTCAAGCTCTTATATTTAAAATTTCTAAATATTGTCAATTTTTACAGCAGTGATAGGATCAAAAGTCACATAATTTGAAAATTTCCCCCATATTCTTGCTGCAATTAAAGTGGTACATTTCTAAAATGACAATATATTTAGAAACAAATTTTCTAGCTAACTTTGTAGATAGAGCCTATAATATATATTCACAATGATGTATTATTCTGAAATATGACTTTTAATTCAATACCTTTAATTATTAACTCAGTTATTTGAAGTTATATTAATTCCATTCCTGTAAATGGAAAGATTTTGGGTGGTTGTTGAAGCAAATAAACAAATAAATAAATGCAAGAAGAACCTAATACCTACATTAAGACACAAAGAAAACTTTTTAAATTTTATTGGGACATATTCCCATTTTTTAAGATGCTGAGTTTATAGTCACATTTTACCTTTTAAATATAGAAGTAGAAAGTATATCTTGTTTCTTAGAAAATATTATGTTCCTAATTATATACTACTAAGTGGCATTTTCCAATCAGTTTTTATTGTTGCAATGTAAGAATCTATAGAACAACATGTGTATAAAATGGTCCAGTTTGTATATATAAAAATATATTTACATGGATAATGGAACAGGGCATTGCGTCCTGTTATATGTTATGTGTCACTGCAGGAGTCAGCATTAGAGCCCCCAGTGCACAGTACCCACACCACTATAACTCGGGTGGAGGTTGTGCTTTACATGCAGGAAGCACCAGGTTTGACCACCCCCCAACACCAAAAAGAGAAAAAGAAAGAAAATGAACTGAATTCCTTCAGGCTTTAGTACCCAATTATAAGAATATTTTGTATATTCATTTTTTCCCAGTGGGAGGCGATATCAGGGTCATTGTGGAGTCTCCCTTGAATGTGTCAACTCATACAACTTTTATACTTTCCCTAGGGCTCAGGAGGAGTGAAAGCCTGTCAGAAAAGCAGGTGAAAGAAGCGAAATCTAAATGTAAAAGTATTGCCCTCCTGCTCACCGATGCCCCCAACCCCAACTCCAAGGGGGTGTTGATGTTTAAGAAGCGCCGGAGGAGGGCCAGGAAGTACACCCTCATCAGCTACGGTACCGGCGAGCTTGAGCGAGAGGCAGACGAGGAGGAGGAGGAGGAGGAAGGTGACAAAGAGGACCCATGTGAAGTGGCCTTTCTTGGCACGAGTGAGTCAGAAGTAGATGAAGAGTTGCTGTCCGACGCTGACGACAACGCCCAAGTAGTGAACTTTGATTGGGATTCTGGACTGGTGGACATTGAGAAGAAACTGAGCAGAGAGGACAAGATGGAGATGTTGCCAGACACCACAGGAAAAGGGGCCCTCATGTTTGCCAAGAGGAGGGAGAGAATGGATCAGATCACCGCGCAGAAAGAAGAGGAGGGGGTGCTTGGAACTCCAGGCAGAGATGCAAACCTTGCCCAGACAGATGGCATGAGAACCACGGCGTCTTACCAAAGAAAGGAAGAGGAATCAGTGAGAACGCAGACCTCTGTGAGCAGAAGCTACATCCAGATGGGTCATAGTCTTTGCCAGGTGCCCCAACAGAATGGCTTCAGTGGCGGGTCAGAGGCAGCAGAGGCCCAGAAGTCTGTCCCTATGAACAGAACGGCCAAGCCTTTCCCAGGCTCTGCAAACCAGCCAGCTCCTCCCTTCTCCCCAACCCACAACATCTCAAGTCCCATCTCTGACTTTCCTGCTCCTCCACCATATTCTGCGATCACTCCTCCACCAGAAGGCTTCTCCAGAGGGGTAACAAGTCCCATCACTGGCCCAGCACAGCCCCCTCCATGGCCGCAGCCAGCTCCATGGTCCCAGCCAGCCTTTTATGACACATCTGAGAGAATAGCATCTCGGGATGAGAGGATTGCAGTGCCAGCAAAAAGAACAGGGATACTGCAGGAAGCCAAAAGGAGAAGCACCACGAAACCTATGTTCACATTTAAGGAGCCCAAAGTAAGCCCGAATCCTGAACTCTTGTCACTGCTTCAAAATTCAGAAGGTAAACGAGGCACCGGAGCTGGTGGCGACTCCGGACCTGAAGAAGACTACCTCAGCTTAGGTGCAGAGGCTTGTAATTTCATGCAGAGCTCCTCTGCTAAGCAAAAGACCCCACCTCCTGTTGCTCCAAAACCTGCAGTCAAGTCCTCATCCTCCCAACCAGTTACCCCGATTTCTCCAGTGTGGTCTCCAGGAGTGGCTGCCGCCCAACCTCCTGCCTTCCCTGCATCAAATCCATCCCAGGGCACAGTGGTGTCTTCCATCAAAATAGCCCAGCCTTCTTGCCCTCCTGCTCGTCCCGCAAGTGCACTGAACCTGTCTGGTACCTTCAAAGGACAACAGGCAGCAGGAGCCAGTCAGAATTACAGCCCCAAGCCAACAGCACCAGCACCAACAGTCAATGCCGCTCACACCAGGGCAGTGGGACCATCCAATGAGCTTCCCGGAATGAGCGGGAGAGGAGCGCAGCTTTTCGCAAAGAGGCAGTCAAGGATGGAGAAGTATGTGGTGGATTCTGACACAGTGCAGACCCATGCTGCCCGCGCTCAGTCTCCTACGCCATCCCTACCCGCCAGCTGGAAGTACTCCTCCAATGTCCGAGCACCTCCCCCTGTGGCCTACAATCCCATCCACTCTCCCTCCTACCCACTGGCTGCCATCAAGCCCCAGTCCTCAGGCCCACAGGCCTCCAAAGTGAGCAAGAAAAAGGTCAAGAAGCCTCTCAACGCCTTGGATGTCATGAAGCACCAGCCGTATCAGCTCAACGCGTCCCTGTTTACTTTCCAACCTCCGGATGCGAGGGACAGCCTGCCCCCTAAATCAGCAGTCAAGATCAGTTCAGCCTCAGCTGTGAAGCAAGCGCTGCCGTCCAGGCCAGTGAACGCCACCTCGCCCACGAATGTGCAGGCTTCCTCGGTTTACTCGGTGCCGGCCTACACCTCTCAGCCCACCTTCTTTGGGGAGGCCACCTCCCCCGCCAGCGCGTCTCCAGTGCCCATGAGCGTTCCCACCTCTCCAAAGCAAGAACCTGCCTCGTCATCTTATTTTGTGGCACCAAGACCGAAGTTCTCAGCCAAGAAGAGTGGCATCACAATCCAGGTGTGGAAACCATCTGCGGCGGAAGAGTAACCCTGTAGCTGAAACCGAGTGTTCACCTTGCTTGAAATGAATTGTTTGCAGTGTCACTTGAGTCCCCGAGAATGGCTAGCAAATCCTCAACTTACTTAATTTCAGATGTGTCACTTCCCAATCTGGGTCCAAGGAGCACAGTATTTTTAATGAGTCAAATATTCAACTCAGATTGACTTTAAACATATTTATCTTCTTTGCACACTTGAATAATCCAGGAGTATACCAAAAGACATGTGCCATTGCATTAAGTAAGCAGGATACTTAGGACTTATGCTTTAGCCACAAGAAAGGCAGTAATTAGTGCTATCAAACATTAGGACACAGCATTTATGTAACGTATCAGCTGTGCTCCCATGACGAAGGTTCAAATGCAGTGGAAATACGTGTCTTGACTGAGCTTTCACTTCTAAATCAAGCTTTGTCTCTATTACTAGTGTTAAGGGAATAAGAAATCTAGAGCGGGAAGGATCAACTCTGGTCTGTCAACCACAGGCAACTGTGGACATCACAGAGAAGAAAAGGTTTTGCTGGGGATTGTTGGTGTAAGCAGTGGATTAAACATGAGGCTCTTAGGAATTACTGAGCACTTACTGTGTTAGGCTTTCTTTTTTTGCCAGATATTCTTACATGTCAGAAGACATATTTAAAGTAAACAGGATATGCAAGAAGGATAATGATCCTAGAGATAATGATCCCATCCTTCCTCCCTCCCCAGGTACTTAAGAAAATAAGTGAGCACTTTGTATCACCTTTGCCCATGAAAGCATTAATCTGTTTTCTTCAGTGAAGGCAAGCAGTAGAGTACAGAATAACGAAACATGTGGGTGGAGGGTGCACACAGAGGTATGCAGGGCTGTTGTTTTCCCTTCAGAAGCCACACTCCTGGGACCTGGAGGGTTACTGACTGCAGGAGCTGATGGGGAAGCAGGAGGAACCCCGAGTGCACAGACTGTAGGGTGAGAATGCAAAATTATTAACATCCTATCTGAATGACCTCACAGATTTTCTTCCTGTGTTCGTGTTGCTCTTTGGCAAATGCTCCGCCCACCACTCCCTGCAATATTATTCTTGCACCTTTCCTCTATTACTTATATTTGATGGACCAGGATAATTCAGGCAAGGTTACCTTGTAAATTTGGACTGGTCACATGCTATGTCATCATCCAGCTGGCTATGAAGTTAATAATGTTACTGAAAGTAAACCTGAAGACCTTTCTCATATCTATTTTAAGTCTGAGTGTGACCAACCATGGAAAATATTTAACATGAATTAATGTAGAGAACTACAAAGCATTTATGACAGCTTCAAGGAGAACCATCTACTCTTTGCAGGAGATATGTTTAGAGGCCTCCTAGAAAAACTTGTGTGGTTTGAGGGTACACAGTGTCATTTTAATCCTCTGAAAATATCTGTATTCCTGTACTTTCTCTGCTGTCACTGTCAATCTGCTATGTCTTTCTCTATCCTATTAAAATATTACTTTCTTCTTTACCTGTTCACTGTGAATACTTTTTTATTACCAGTCCTCCCTTTATGAACTATTCTAAGCTAAATCACTTCTCTGATATTTCCCTTATGACCTCAACATTTTCTTCTGTAAGCATTAATTTCCTCATACATTGTGGAACTGCAAGCTTAGATATGTGAAACATCACACAAAAAGAGGAGAATTAAGTCAGTTGCAAAAATGCTGGGGCTGATTCTTCTACTTTTTCTCTATAAAATCTTTCACTAGCTTTGGTGGCAATGCTGCCTACCACGAGGAGATAGCCTGGTCTCTTACTTGCCCTTTTGGGAAATCAATGCAAACAAAGAAAAAGCAATCTGTCCCTCATATAATATAGTTGTTTGTATTATATGTTTCCTGAAAAGGAAGTCTGTTGATAACAGTAAATTTTGCATTGTATTTTCATAGAACAGTCAGAAAAGATGAAGTAGGAAGGGAGATAATTTTTATAACTGCATTCTCAACATAACCCTGAAAGAATGGCATAGATTAGAGGAAAGATGTGGAGTACACAGGTAGTCAATTTGAGCACATGGGTCCCAAAGTATTCGAGGAGGGTAAGTGAGCAGAAGACTCCCAGTTGTCTAGAGCTTTGTGGTATGTAAGACCGAGAAGTGTTTTCAGTCCATTTCCTGTTGGACAGATGGCAGTCTTAGCAGAGCCACTATTTGGAGTTGATGACTAAAGACAACTAACATGACTATATCTTCTTGTCATCTGGGGACTGTTAGGGATTCACACAAAGCTTCTAAGACTGTCAGGCATGCAGTCAAAGCAGTGACCATGTTGGCTGGGAGTTGGTAGTAGACGTCACATCTGAGACCATAGAGTCTCACAGAAGAAAGTGGAAATTTAATAACACTATATCCCTATATCCACAAGAGGGACTCTGACCTCCTCCTGAGGTCTGCAGAAATGAGAGGAAGAAGGACAAAGCCCTCTCCCTGAAATAGATTCCTTTCCCTCTCCTCCCCACCCCAAGGAGCTATGTGACCACCATCAGGCTGGGGTTGCAGAAGTGACATCAGTAGGGCAGGTGGGAGCTTTAGAACTGGAGAGAAGAGCCTCCCTCCCACCGGCCCCACTGTGCAATCTGAGTCTTGCTGGTTTTGTTGTGGTGGCAATTGTTTGATTGGTTAGCTGGCTAGTTGGAGGGCTAAGGGAGCAGTTTGGTGAAGTTCTTAGTGCTTTTCCTCTTCCCTTGTTCTTTGACAGTTTCACTCCTAGCCAGAGCTCTGTGATGTTGGTTTCCACTGTCAGCACCATAGCAGCAATCAGCACCTGGGTAACTGTGTTGTAGCAGGTGCCTCTGTTTCTCATCCTCAGGCTTCTATGCCTGGCTTATCAGGGTAGGATGTAAATTAAGAGTTAACCAGTCATTGAAGGATGAACTGACTGTATGCAAAGTTCCACCAGCTCCCCCTTAGTAATACCTCAAAGCTCTCTTCCTGGCAGAAATCTTATGCTCTAGCAAGTCTGCCCAGTCCTGAGGATCATGGGCAGAAGAAAGCTACCATGTGCCTATAAGCACAGTGTGCTGTCCCGGACACATCAGAGGGCAGATTGGATCGCAGAACTGGTGGGGTTGGTGATGTGAGTGCTGCCACTTTACTCTTAGAACATGTACAATTTCAGTAGTAGACACATTTTGAGAGAGAAGAAAACATAAGTGTTCTGGATCTAGACTATGCCTGATAGTGTAAAATATACATTTTTAGGTTACGATTTTTAACATTTGGGTGGTCATTCCAGAACATGCAATATTTTGTACTTCAACATATGACTAGTATGATTGCTAATGATAATATGTATCAACTATTTCATTCTACATGAAGTGTCCCATCTGATCTTCACAACTATTTTTAACCACAGGAAAGCCAATTCAGGTTACATATAATTCCTTAACATAAGCTCAGGTCATTTAACTGTTCTATACAGTGCCAACTTCTTTCACTGTGGGACAGCTGAGAATTGTCCCACAGCTGGCATCTGAGCACAAGCGTTTCATCTGAAATGTCAAAAACAGATGATCCACACTTAAAAGGGATGGAATCACACATTTGGTCTACTTTGCTGTTTGTCATCACTGGGCTAGAGGACACTGAAAGTGATTTTGCCCCTGCAGGCATGTCACACATTCTGAGTATGTGGCTCTGTCAGTGATGCCCCTAAGAACAGGGGACACTTGGCTGTTAGTGTGCAAATGCACTCTTTCAAATAACTTTGCTGCATATCATTTCAAACAAGTATATGTCCAACAGTCTTGCAAGTGCCAACATGGTAAGAATGATTTCCTTTAAACAGAAAATCAGTGCAATTATTTTATGAGTTAGCAAAAGCCAAGCAGGAAGGGTAGGGTAAGCCATGGTCCTCAAAAAGAAGTGACTATTTTCTGAAGCTTTCAATGATTAAATCGCTTCCAAAGGAAAGTATGCAACACATCTTCACTCCCTCCTAACATCCAAGTTGTAGAGTTTGTGGTAACTTTTTTTTATAAGTTCTTGAGAAAAGTATGTAAATTCCAAGAACCAATGTTATATTCTCAGAAACAGTGACCCTCACTGGTGTAATGTCCCTTGATCACAGGACTCTGGAGGACACAAAGACTCCTTGTAACACTTCAAAGCTGCTGACCAAGTCAACAAGCATTCTGGGAAAATGCAGACTGGAAATTCCTCTCTAGATTTCCCACCAGGGCTGACCCAGAGCCCTAGAGCAGGCTAGTAAATTCCCATAGGACCTGACACTAGAGACAGCACTGCCAGAAGCTAGGCTCTGTTTGCCTTTGTACAAGTATGAAAATTGTAGTCATCCTGCACGTGTCAGGCCCATAAAATCTCTGTGCTTTGGAGGGGTTTTGGAAGCTAAAGCATTGTTCCCTTGCTGTTACCAGTCAGTCAGTGCAACTTGGCATTCAAAATCATAGACCTACTCAGAGACAACTGAATGAAGGGAAATTTTATTAAAAATTATTAAATCTGAGGCTGGAGGGGTGTGGCTCAGTGGCAGAGCACTTGTGCCACAGGGACAAGGCCCTGACTCAGATCTCGGCATAACCAAGAGAGATTTTCATGTAAATTTCACTTGAGGCTTCTCATGTTTATGTCTGTTTACCCCCACTATTGACATATTTGCCTATATTTTGTGGGATTTATGACTAGTTGTTACATAGCAACCCAGAACCTCTAATCGAGCTATCACCAGGAGCTTGCTTTGCAGCCTCCCTCCTTCTTCGTGATAGCCATAATATTCAAAATGGTAATACGCAAATCACTGTGGAGAGGTTTGGCTTTTACAGCCCTTACATTTTCAAATCCTCAGCAACAATTACCAGTTTGTTCCTGGGGGAAAAAAATAAATCAAAGAATTGCAACTGGCCCGGAGTTGAAAAGAAATGTACATTGTAGGAAGAAAGGGATGCATGTTCTTCCTGAAAGTAAACAACCAAGAGCATAGTGTTTTTGTTCTTCTTCTGGACACATTTTAGCAGTCAGAAAATCTTGAATGCTTTTAGTTAGGGGAATAGTCCCCATTCAAGGTTACGCAAAAGCCTGGAATGAAGCATTTTGCTCCCAGTGGGGATGATGGGTAGGGATGGAAGAGCTGGAGCCCCCCACTAGTCTCCCTGCTGGCCTGGGGCATGGGAAGAGGAAGGAGAGAGAGGGAATGTACTGAGCCCTTTCTACGAGCCACAAGTCTGGGGAGCGTTTTGCATAAATTGTAGTAATAGCTAGCATTAATTGAGTAAAAGTTCCAACCTGGAACTCTGCTGAGTATCTGTCACAAATTAACCCCTTGACCAGTGATCCTGCTAATGAAATAGGTCCACTGTACAAGGCCCATGTTATGGCTCATAGATGGGATTCTGAGGAATGAAAGCTGAAGAACTCATTAAAGATCTCACAATGTGAAGTGAGCGACCCTGCATTTATTTTGCAATGTGCATTCTTAACTGATTATGCGATTGCTTCATTTGCTCCTCGGAATTACTCTGAAAAGGAGAAAATTTCCCCTTTGACAAATGAAGTACCTGAAGCATAGAGACCAAGCAACTTATCCTGCAGTCCCCAAGCCCTGGGCAATAGGTTAGGTTAGACGGGAGGCGTTTGTCAGTATCGAAGCCCGCAGTATCTCACCGTCCACAGTCGCTCACACCCTGCTAATCTTGCTGCCTGAGACCTATTAGCTGCACCGTGGCCTAACACAGCCACCATGCGCGGGCTCTGTGTGTGCTTTCTGGGCGGCTTAGGCCACACCAAGTGACTTCTGAACAACCCTGAGTCCATAAGACAGCTCAGAAAACCACACGCTGAGACAGCATGTTGAATATAAAAACCAGTTTCTGAGGAAGAACCACCTGCTTTATAAGTATGGCAGATGGATTTGATAGTGGTTTTAAGTGAGTTCTTCAGATTCTTTCATTGTCCTATTTCAGGATGAATACGTGCTACACAGGGAATAGGAATGGGAAGAGATGTGACTCAAAAAATAAAGTGGTTAAAGCCTTTACACAGAAGGAAATGCTGTCCTTGGCTCTAAGCTGTTCTGGCTAAACATAATTCAGGGAGCTCTTATTAAGTCCTGAATCAACACCCAGCTTGCCTTACTGCAACACTGGCACAACCTCGAAGTATTTCAGGGGAGTAATTCTAAGCCCTTATGCTGAGGGATCACTGGGGTTTAGTGTTTCAAAGCACACCCCCCAGTCACTTTCCCTGGGGTCCCAGAGTGCAGCCTCTCCAGGTGAGCTGGCACCCACCCAGGAGTGGAGCAGAGAACAAATCCGTCCTGCCACAGAGCGCCCCTCTCTCCCCCAAGATTCCTAACAGCTATTTCTGCCAAAGACCTCCCCACAAGGACATGTGTACACCTTCCATTAAGCTTTCCAGTTATTTTTCTTTCTCTGAGCTCTGTCTCATTGTTACTATGAAAACATCCCCTGAAGAACTAGGACAATGAATGCCAGGTATGGCCCTTAAACGGTCTGCTTGCTGACTAGAAGGAGAGAGGAGGAGGCTTCTGGGTTAGTTGTGAAGACCCATTGTATGTGAAGCGTTTCACTTCCTCATGTGAAGGTATTGGCATCGCCTGGGTTTGGTGGTGGTGTTGCCCTGTGATCGCAGCCCTCGGGAGAGGGAGGCAGGAGGAACACAAGGTGGAAGTCAGCCTGGGCTTCACACTGAGCTCAAGGCCAGCATGGACTACATAAGACTACATGTTTTATAAAAAAAAAAAAAAAAGAAAAGAAAACCATAGTGCTACTAAGTAGGTGGGACAGCGTTTACTGTATGCTGGATGACACCCTAAATACCTCACAAATATTAAGTATTTTAGCACACAAAATATGGTACAAGGCAGACCCTACTGTCATTGACTTTAAAATGAGAAAATAAAAGTAAAGGGTAGGATAGGACTCAGAACCCAGCAGTCAGACCCCACGGCCTCCTTCTTGACACAAGGACGCCCTCCTTCTCCAGAGCAGAAGGGCCCCTCACATGGAGGGAGCCATTCACCAGAGACGACTAAGTTGTGCATGCCTCAAGATTAACTCAAGACTTACATTAAAGCTTCGAAATCAAAGTAAGCAATAATTGAAAAAGCTTAGAGTTTGGCGGCTCTGAGTGATAGACACTAAGAAGCAGGGTGCATTAGGGGTGCAAATAGCTGTGATATTGGTTCCCATTGGCCTATTTGCTTATAAGCTGATAAATGTTAGGGGGAAGCCCACCACTTTGCTGTTGTTCCCTGAACTGATATCACTAAAAATGCCTCCAACACTCCCACTTCCAGTCAGCTAGCATCATTTTTTTTTTTTTACCAGAGCTATGCTAATTTGCACCAGGCAGGTGAAAAAAAAAGTGAAAATGGTGCTATAGAAAAACATCCTTAAATGTTAGCAACAATAATGGGGAAAATGTTTTTCATAATCTGTACATTTTTTAAAACCATGATTTGATTTGGAGAAGCAAAATGAACTTAAATGAATTCCGAAGGCTATACTTTCAGGGATCATTTCTATAGTATGTTACATGAATTCCACATAGGCAGCAGGCTACACTGTGAGATATCTAGGCACGTTTTGCAGGGCTGAAGAGCAGGGGTTCTGGGGTCAAAGGGCGTGGCCTGAAGCTGTGCCTGCCTCTCGCAAGTGCTTCAAGTGAGCCAGCTGCTCTGTGCCTCAGTACCCCCGCTGTGCTGTGGGTATAATCACGAGTCCATCTCACAAACGGTTAAGATTCAATGAATCAGTATGCACTGCAAGCACAGAGCAGGGCCTGGCACACAGGAAGCATTCAACACAGATTAGATAGTAATATTATTACAAAGGGCACTCAGGGAACAATAGCTATGCTCCTGTTTCCAGGATGTCCAAGGAGAAAAGCAACAATTAAACAAGGTCTTTTGTGTTTTCTGTTAATATGAATCCCAGTTTAAAGGACACGCTGCAACTAAAATAGAGAGGAGAAAAAAAACATCCAGGAGCATCCATGTAAATGCTATCTGGATAGCAGGAATCTATTCCCAGGAGTGTGTATGTGAGGGATCTTAGCTTCTTCTCCACTTTTTTTTTCCTGACACTTTATATGTTTACATTCTATGCAGCCAGCATATGAATTCTTTTCTACTTCATGTTCATCTACTGTACTACCATGGTTTTTAGTAGTGTGAAAAGATGAGATCAGGATGGAAAAACTGGCTTTAATATTTAAAAAATAAAAGGTTAGCGTCAACTTTGAGGACCTACCCCTGTTATGGTACTGTGTTCAGTTAGAAGCACCAATATTAAGTAGAACACTTGTGGTACAGTTAGCAACAAAAAGAGAGCCCGTCTGTGTGAAGGCGTGTAAGCCAAACCCATTCTCAAAATAGGATAGGTGGTATCCTCAGTGAGGTCCTCGCGGGATTGCTGAGGCTTAAACACGCCTGTCGCACAGAAAGTGGAGCAGCTGGCAGCCCAGCGCCGAGACTACCCCACTTCGGCTGCCCTGAGAGTCGGGCTGCAGCGGGCAGCACCGCCCGGCCCTGGGCGCAGATCACAGCTGTCCTCATCCTTGCTGTCCAGCTCTGTCCTAGGACAAAGGGTCAGCAGCCTGGCCTGTGCCGAGTAACTGATCCCCTTGCCTCAGAGGCAGGATCACTTTCCAAAAACAGGAGCGCAGCCTTCTGAGCAGAGCGGGCTCCCGGCTTGCAGGACAAGCGGTGCAAACAATTCTCAGAAGCCAAGACCGCTGCGGGCAGGCGCGGAACAAGCCAGCTGCCCCACGGCACAGGGAATGCCTGTGGGTTTTCTGATATTTAAAATCTGTCTGAGTCAGGAGCAGAAGTCAGAAAAAGGAAAAGAATCAAATCAAGCTAAAATTCTGAAAATTTTATCTGAATCCAAAATAACTGTTGTTTCAAACACAATTAAGTTAACTTAGTTTAGTTTTCCTTTTGTAACCCTTGCATTTAAAACAAAACTTAACCACTTCTTGCATTCCACACCCTTTACCCCCTTTTTTCTTCCTACTGTATCTCAGATGTATATAGAAATGCCTTCCTGACCATTTTCCAGAGCTACAAGTCAGGTTGGGCTCTAGGTAATGATTTTTCTACAATCAGCCACAGAGGTTTTTCTTTTTCTTTCTTTTTTTTTCCCCCTGCATTTTAGGAAAGGGTCTTCAGGGTGTTCAGGGTCTCACTACTAGATCGGACTAGTGATTCTCCTGTTTGCAGCCTCCTAAGTGCTGGAATTACAGGCGTGTACCATCACGCGCAGTCTCAATTGCTTTCTCAGCGCACCCTGGGGGTGGGGCTGGCATGGCAGACCCGGGGTTCGAACCCTCAGCGCCGGTGCCTGCTTGCAGGTGCTTTAGCCATAGAGCTTTTTTGGTTTGCTTCTTGGTCATGCTCAGAATCTGGTGGGGGGAAGTGTGGTTCACTGGACTGTTTCTCAATATTTATCAGATGATGCTGAGCAGAATGCATCATAGAAGCCCAATATGGCATCAACAGATTTTGAAATCTGGATGACGAAATACCCAAGGGAATGTCACTACTCACTGCAGATGGCAGGCATGAAACACTGAGTAAAGCGAAATATTTCACTTAGAATTTTACTTCTAGTTTATACCTCAATTCACCAACTTATATGATTATCATTATGTAGAGAATATTTATTTGAGCAGAATATTGCCTTAGTATTTTAACATAATTTTTCACTGTAGTATTTATTTATTTATTACTTTATTACTTTATTTATTTATTTATTTTTTGGGCAGGGCCTCACTATGTAATCCAGGCTGACCTGGAGCTCCCGGCGATCCTCCTGCCTCAGGATCCCAGGTGCTGGGATTACAGGAACACACCACCACACCCTGCTGTTTTTCTGCTTTTATTCCCCAGGAGAGTTTAAGATTCCTTAGTCCCAGTTAGACTCTGATTTACTAGGTCCTGTTGGAGGCCCCAGAATTTGTCGTGTAAGACATCCCCTGTGATTTCTGATGCTAAAGAGTTATGCAGCACACGTTTAATTCCTTCGCCACACTGGGGCTGCCGCACAAATCTGTGTAATTCCAGCTACTTGGGAGGCTGAGGTAGGATACCAGCGAGTTTGAGGCTAGCCTGTGAAATTTAGCAATGCCTCGTCTCAAGATGAAGTAAAATGCAAAGGTAAAAAAAGAAGAAAAACTTTTTTCTAATGCTCCAAGCACGTAACTCAACTTTATTCTGTAAACGCCACAAAGTGTTCCTGTGCCGCCAGCCTGCGACAGCCAGACTTGTGCACTGCACCAGCTTGAGGCCGGGGGCGCCCGAGAGCCGGCCGCCGGGCCCTGGCCAGCTCCCCCGGAAGCGCCCAGGAGGTGGCGGCACAGGCTCTCTCGGCTCAAAGGGCTCCCCGGGCGGCCGTTCCGAGGCTGGGGCTCTGCCACTTGCCTCAATCCGTTTTTTAAAACGAGAGACACAAAGGGAGCTTTGAGATTTGATTTTTATCTGGCCCCTTTTCTCTGGTGGAGGATGAGCATAACTATTGCTAGAAATAGAGTGATCGCAGTGTTATCACCTCGGTTGTACCACGTTCTTCGGCTTTTGGGCTTATCTCTGGGGCAAGCAAGTATGTGACTTCCCTGGGCTGTGAGGACCTGGGGCCTGTTATCTCCAATCAAGTGTTCTTACTAATTAACTTAGATTGCTAGGGCAGGATTGAAAACACTCTTGGGATCTAGGCTAAAGGAGAAGTCTGAAACACTTTAATTAGCTTTTTCAAATGAAAATAAATAGGATTGTAAAATTCACACAAGCAAAAGGAAATCCGTGCAGTATGTATGGGCGGGTGGAACTCAATATTTTTGTTTAACTTTAACATTAATACGACTTAATAGTACGGGACAAAGCGCAGGTAGGCCAAGCCGTGGCTGCTTGGATCTCGACCAGCACATTGTTTTCAAACCTTTGATGCATGGAAGTTTGTTTCTAAAGCAAAAAGGACAGTGGTATGTTTGGAGGTTCTGCAGCTTAAGAGAAGTGCATGCACCTTTATGAACGAGAGAAGAAAAGATCAAAAGGAGGGGTGAATACATGGGGGCCAGGGAGCAGAGCTGCAGCCTGGTCTCTGCGCATACATGTGTGACACCAGGTAGTGATGAATTATGAGGCTTCGGCTGGGGATTTGGCTCAGCGGTCGAAAGCTGGTCTAGCAAGATGGAAGCCCTGAGTTCAGGCCTCTGCACAAAAAAAAAAAAAAAAAGAAAGAAAGAAAAAAAAGAATTATGGATCTGCCAACCCTGAAATAGGCAAGATTCAGGGTAAAGAGAAGAAGATAAATACTCCTATGTTTTAGTGATCTTTTATTTGGTAAAATGAAAATAAACCCCACCCCCCAACACCTATAATCCCAGCTACATGCAGGGGCAGAGCCAGGAGGATGACAAGTTCAAGGCCAGTCTGGGCAATTTAGTGAGACTCTGCCCTCCGAATAAAAAATACAGTGAATGTTTCCATTTAAAAAAACAACTTACAGTAGAAGACACATTGCCATTAGACCCTTCAAAATATTTCCTCTTGCTTTGAGCACCCCTGTCCCATCATTCTGGCCACTCTGTGAAGCTGTTCTCAAAGTCATTCTTCATGAAGGACACCAGTTGCACTGTCCTGGCTACCCTGATGTCTTGACTCCACTGAAAACAATTACCTTCCGTGGGCACTGGCTTTGGGGAAGAGCTAGAAGTTGCTAGAAGAGCTGGAAGCGCCAGGTCCAGTGAATAAGGTGGTTGAGAACACAATATAATGCTTTTCTGAGCCTGCCTCTGCAGGGCGGCCCTGGGCAGCAGCATTTATTGCATCTTTTTTTTCTTTTTAATCATTCCTGGTGAAAACACTCAAAAGACTTCCAGAATTGCCTCAGAAAGTGGCAAGAGTTATTGGGTTAATCATATTTGCAGTGAAGGGGATTGTTTTGAAGAAATTAATAGTAATGTGTCTTTACTATAATTTTTATTTTACTTAATTTTTCCTTTTTGTTAATTTTATTGGGAAATAAATAGCAATGAGACAGTTTCAAAACCAGTTAGTAGGACAGTTTCAATAATTAGTACATGCAATTTTTATCTTAAACTTAAACATTCACTATCTATATCGAATATACCTCATACACTCTGTTTTAATCTATACCCACCCCCATGTTCTATTTCAGGAAAATAATTGTTCACTTGAAAATCTCACCTATTTGTTGGCATTTCTGTCCCTAAAATGAAATAATACCCATGAATTTATTGTGTAAATTCCCTCAAACAGTAAAGATATTATTAAAACCTGCTACTTGGATTAAAGAGTTGTGGCAAATGAATTAAGCACACTTTTTCTATTCTGTGCTTAACAAAACAAGTTGTTGATGCATCAGTGAAAAGTTGTGTCTATTATCCCTAATTTTATGAGCCCCACATGCTTCCACTGTACAACTCTGTGTCCCTAATTTTAAACATCACTCTGGGACCATGTTTTTGATGAAAGAGAAATAAACATGATTTGAAGTAAAACTTGAAGTTTCAAAGAGCAGTAAGTTAAGCAATTTCCCTCAGCCTAAGACATAAATTAAAAAAATCTATTTAATAACCCTGGGAATGTAATGGACCAGAAAACCGATGACAAAGACCAGGGCAGTCATTTTTCCGCAGACTGTATCCTCTGCCTCTGTGTGAAATTAAATCATGTGGTATGCAC